TCAATATCTATTTGACTTCATTTCGAAAAGGAAAACGTGGGCTGCTTGGATGTTCAAATATTAATAATCGTCACTAATGATTTGGGAAACGTTATAATAATTTAATGACTCGAAGTGTATTCCAAGAAACAAATCTGCCATAAACGTGTTTGTGAAAAATCTTAAGCAAATTTAGCAAAGATGGCGTCCCCTTTGTTGTTCGAAATTTGCTTTTGTTCACTCCGCAGTTAATGGGTACCCGGTAGGAAGAGATGGCCATGAGAACTTTTACCTTCAAGTGCCTTACATGCAGCTTGGGTTGAGTACACCCTCGGGGTCGAGGCTTTTAGGGAGTGGATTTGGCTTAGAATATAATATTTTTAATTGTACATTACCATCATCATGGTGATCATCATCATCATCATCATCATCATCATCATCATCACAATTATCATCATTATCATCATTATCATCATTATTATTGGTAATATGTTTGGGTGCAATGACATTTCAATTATCCAGAAACAACACATATTCCGGTTATCCAGCATTAACGACGTCTCTCTCCGTTCAAGGTTCTTCAACGATTCGTTATTCTGCACGGGTTCTTTTTAATCCAGACGGGTATTTTTTACAAGGGATTAACAGGGAATATTTTTTTTCCTGTGAATTTAGCTGGACATGCCAGCATTATACGTTCTCGATGCAGGCGCACAGTCAATGGTGAACGTTTAGCAAACGGGTGGTGTCGTTTGATAAAATGTACCGCCCATTAATCGTGGTTTCACACTGCCTAAGTAAATACTTCCAGGAGCTTGTAGACATAGCGTTAAGCTTGGCCTGATCCAACGGGTTCGTGACCACGCATGGATAAAATCTAACCCCCAAACCCCCGAACCCACACATACCCACACCCCACCCCAAGGAATCAGCAGCAGCATCGCCCATACTCTGAGATGAAAATTGAGATGTTTAAGTATGATCAGAACCGAAAGTAGAACAGGGGAAAAACGGATTGCACTGGGTGGGTGAGTGAGTTAGTGAGTGGGTGAGTGAGTGAGTGAGGGAACAACGGATTGCACTGGGTGGTTGAGTGAGGGAGGGAGGGAAAAACGGATTGCACTGAGTGAGTGGGTGGGTGGGTGAGTGAGTGAGATTCTTTCGTTGTAAGACGTCCCCCGATTTTTACCATAGTCGTTTCAGCGAGCGAATGTACGGGTGGGTGGTAGAGTGTGTTTTCACAGAGTGAATTTGTCTCCGCTTTGAACAAGACTTTCAGCTATATCGATACGTGTCAGTTTACTGTGGACGGAAAGCCCCAAGGGATGCAGGCCTCAAATGTTTATCATGTTTGCATGGGTGTGGAATTCGAACCCAATGTCATAAGGACCATGAAGGGTGCAAGATGGTCTTCAACCATGTGTTAATCCAAATGTCATGATTCGTACGGAGCATTGATCAGAACAGAAACATTTGAGTGAATTAGCGTGAGTGAGCATGTTTCCACCAATATAACAGCGATATCACGACAGGGACACCTCAAATGGGTTACACACATTGTATCCCTGTCTGGAATCGAACCCGATGCGCGAACGCTTTAACCACTTGGCCACCCCACCGCCCTCAAATACGTAAGACACCATAAACCTCGTTACCTATATCGATGGGAATATCGGGAATACTTCGAGTAAACCTGGGTTCGAGACAAGCGGAATGCTAAGGATTTTTCTCGGACCAAGGAGTGTTGTCGCTTTAAACGACATATGGATTTCAATGAAATAACCATGGCTCGAGATACTGTCGTAATCTCTTCAGTGCCAACAAGGATTTTTCTCGGACCAGTGTTGTCGCTTTAAACGGCATATCGATTTCAAATGAGGTCCTGTTAAAAGTTTTCATTTTAAATTCAGTTAAGTGTACCAACATTTTCTATGGCACCTGGTATTTAAAACCTGTCTCAACAGATGGCTTTCACTCGATAGCATTTTCTGTTTATCGCCTAATAATTATATCATGAATAACTGCTGTATCTCAAAGTCTTCTCTTCCAGTCATATATTTTAATTAGGCTAATGCTGCTCTTTAATTAGTGACCATGGTAATCGAGACGTTATGGCAGCTTTGTAATTGAAATGATCAATCGTCATATCGTAATTCCGGGTTCGAATCCATATTTGTTGACAGTGTGAGCAACTGTTTGGTTTTTTTATGGGTTTTGTTGTTGTTGTTGTTGTTTGTTGTTGTCCGAATATTGATCGAATTATTTTTTTGCTAAACTCAGCGTTGAGTTATATTCGTGACTTTCTATCGGCTATTGTTTTTTAAACCAAGTACAATTGTTTCGTATAATATGTGAGTGAGTGAGTTAAACTTTAGTTTTACGCCACACTCAGCAATGTTCCAGCTGTATGGCGGCGGTCTGTAAATAATCGAATCTGGTCTAGACTATCCAGTGATCAACAGCATCAGCATAGATCTACGCAATTGGGGTACGATGACATGTGTCAACCAAGTCAGCGAGCCTGACCAGCCGATCCCGTCAGTCGCCTCTTACGACAAGCATGAGTTACAGAAGATCAATTCTAACCCGGATCTTCACGGGTCTCGTGTAATATATAAACTCGCGCCCCCTTTATCTCGAAGCATGTATTTGGTCCTTACTGTTCATAAGTTTAATATGCTCATGTCAACTGGCAATCCAGATATTGTAAAAAAACTAGCTATTTATATACACAATGCAATGAAACTTAGAGATTCACTTCTATGCCAATAATATCATATTTCCTTTTGTATATTTTGTAAATTAACTTATTGTCTTCAGAACTATATATGCACATATGTACCGCTCTGAAATCCTGAAATGTAGCCTTGGCCTATGGTCTCCACTACAAAGAAATAAAGATTGATTGATTTCGTGGTCCTTTACCATCGGGGTATTTATGACAATATTAGAACATGATTTGATTAGAATCGTCAAAATACTCGCTCAAAATAAAGACAATGGCATGTATATTTATATGAATATACCAATCAATCTGTTTCATAATTTATACCAAAATATGATTTCTGAAATGACATAGTGAGCACAAAATTTACTAACGCTCTCATACGCCGTTCAGTCCAACCGATAGATTTGACATTTGAAACCTCGCGAAACGTCTGAGGTTTCAAATACAATTTAGCGCTATCAAACTGCAGATATAACAACGCCATTTCAACATTGTAGGTTCGGTACCATATTGCAGTTAACTAGCTTGTATGTAACATGAGCGGACAGTTTCTTGTGGCATTTGATCTTCTTTAATAATTGGTGTCTGAACCGAATGGTTTTAATTTTTCATGTTTAAAGCAATGTGACGGCGGAGGGCAGGGGAATTCCCACTGAATCAAGTTAGACGTTCGAACACGGGTCATGAGGTCGTGAGTATGCGAGTGAGTGAGAGAGGTCGCGAATGATGTCGTTAGTGATGTCGTGAGAAAGTTCGCGAATAAGGTTTTGAGTGAAGTCGTGATTGAGTGAGTGAGTGATTTACATATGTTAGAAGTGGTTCATTAAAATTTCATCCCGTAAAAAACAAAAATATAAATGATAAGCATATCAAAGTATGCCAAAGAAACACTTGTATATCGTGAATAAGAGAGTGCGTAACCTGATATTCTTTAAACACCCTCTCCTTCACATATGTGCCGTTATTTCTTACCGTCAGTATACAACGATTGAAGTGTAATTTTGTTCTACTTCCATCTAAACGTAAAATTGCTTGTCACAGATACACCTAGTTTATTAAAAAAGTAAATGAAACAAAACAAATAACTGCCATTTGAAAAACAATTTGTTCAAACTTTAAGATTATTTCCGCACTTTCAAGCCGTTACCTGAATTTCGTCAAATATATCAAATTTTAACTCAAATAACCGTATTTTATTAAGGCCTGATCAGGTATTACAACGGTATAAGATCAAACGCGGAATTCAATTTGATAAAATTTCGTCCCTGTACAGCACACAGATATCATGACGGTCTGCTCTGTAATGAAACTGGTCGGATTTCTAATTTCACCAGACATCTTAAAGCTGTGTAATTCCTTTCTTCAAATTAAATTTCACTATTTTTAGTTTTAATAGCACATTTGAAAAGAAGGATCGGCGATGTTGATGAGAGAGATCTGTGGGCTTAGATTGAAACGCGATCAGTTCAACATTTAGCAAAAGGGATATATATCTGTGCCTTCTTACGACATCAGTGAATTGGTCTTCAGCAACCCATGCTTGGCGGAAGAGGCCACTAAGGGGATCGGGTGGTCAGGCTCGCTGACATGACTCACACATGCCATCGTATCCTAATTACGAGAATCGATGCTCATACTGTCAGTCACTGGTTTGTCTGGTCCAGACTCGATTATTTACAGACCGCCGACATATAAATGACTGTAAACAATTGCTGAATGTGGCGTTAGACAACAAACAAACAAACTACACCAGTGACGTCGCCCAATGAAAATAGAAAATGGATAGTTTAGGGAAAGATTATTTAAAACCAAGTTACAATAAAAAGATGACTTCAAACGAAATTACAATAAAAAGATTATTTAAAATCAAGTTAAGCTATGAGAACGTCAGCTTTAAGAACTTTGGTACCTACTGCGTTGGGTATTGATACGTCTTATGCTTTTGTCCCATTTTAGAATTAATCCGGTGCTAAATAGAAAGATGCGCGATCTATATGTCACAACACAGACGCAATAAGCATGTATACATACCTAAAGAGGTCGTCAAAGGACGACAAGCACGTTTGTACATATGTGATATATATATACACCAAGATTCACACTGCAGTGCAGCAACACGACAAACATCAGAGACAGCTACACTGACATTTTTAATTTAACTTCATGGTCTGATGTTTACTCCGGACTCAAGTAAACATCTCCACGATCAATGCACTTCGACCCAATAAACAAACATTCATTGAAAAAATAGGAAGCGTTCTCCATGTGACTCAGTTTCATGTCGGTATTTCAGATACCTCCTGCCCGTGTGCTGCTTGAGACGTTGGGATGTTTCTGAGCTGGAGGTAAGTTATTCCTGATACAGAAATATGCTAATTAGATAGTCCATCAAATTTACAAATCACCCAGAGTCCAAATCCGCTTCCACTAAAACGTTTTGTCTTACACCTGTGGGTGAGAAACCCATAAATGATAATTGGTATGAAACATGTGTGACTTTGAATTCCAGGTCCGTGATTGGCTACTCCATGGTGATGACTTAGGTCAGATTAGGAAGGACTACTTTCTTGATTGTAATTTATTGTTAAGTTAGTCGTGCTTCGGTCGAAACCCACTTACGTCTGTGTCCAAACTGTTTTAGATATTGATAAATATCCTGAGGATAATCTGGTTTACATTATCATCTTCGCGCTGATTATCAACGGAAATGTTTGTGCGGAGGGTCACACTTGGATGAGGAGTAATCAGGCTGGATGACGTCGCAAATGACCCTTGTGTTCGGTGTTAATACGTCATTTAATTAATGGGAATGGACTATGTATATGTCGATTCGATGCTTAAACGATTTGATTTTATTGTATGAAGGGAACAGATTACTGTAACGAGTGTCTATCAGATACCATTAATCGTACAACGAGTTGTTTCGAAACGTATCAAAAGAGCAACAGTTGCTCTTTTGATACGTTTCGAAACAACTCGTTGTACGATTAATGGTATCTGATAGACACTCGTGTAATACTTTCTCTACATAAATCGTCAGTATAACAGAATGCCTAGACTACCGCTTTGTCTCTGAATGTATGTAATTTTGATAGAAACAAATAATTCCTTTTAGACTGAAAAGGAACCCCATTGAGACTTGAGATTCTGAAACTGAGGAAATCTAGACTTGCTTCATTTGGGGCTTTAGCATTGCAGGGAGGGCTGGGCGGTAAGGGTAATAGATGCGGTTCAGGGACTGTGACACACTAAAGAATACCCAAATTCCATTTGGTGTAAAGGGCTAATAACTTTGAAACGTATATGAATGGGTTATTGAAAATCAGTGATGACACCCGGTGTCCTTGAAAGAGACTAAGCATGTCTTGCAATATCGGTAGAATATACCATTCACACAATTTGCCTTAAAATGTAAACATTCACAGCCCGACGCGTGTCATGCAACGGTGGCCTGTGAACACGCCAGACAAACATGTGATGGAGGATGTGAAAATCTTGTCAGTTTAATTACGGCAACTGTGTAGAAATGAAGGGAGAGTCAGCTGACAAGAGTTAGTTTAGTTTTACGCAGCTTTTAGCACTATTCCAACAATATCACGCGGGGGACACCAGAAATGGGCTTCACACATTGTACCCATGTGGGGAATCGAACCCGGGTCTAGGCTACCTCACCGCGATACGATGACATGTGTCAACCAAGTCAGCGACCATGACCCGATCCCGTTAGTCTTATGACATAGCATGGGTTCCTGAAGATCCATTCTAACCCGGATCTTCACGGGTCTGTTTGCTACGGAGAACAAGACTGTCCTTTTAACGGCGTTTCAGTAGTCCCGATCTTCACCTATACAGAGTGAGTTATAGATTAACGGCTGTGCTTTGCCGGGGTTTGTGAGTTATGATGGAACGTTTCGACTGTCAATGTTTGCCACATCTGGTTTGTGTACACATTTACGTCAAGTACGTGTGTAACGTTCGCTGTTGCTCACATTCTAATGGGTTGTATGCAAACACCCGGTGTCATTGTGGTTTTCAGTGTTCCATTCAATACTCGTATGCCTATCGCGCCCAATGGATTCGGTTTGGGCGGATAATCGAGGGTATTCTGGCGGTGACGTTATATTGACGTTACGTCATAGGGAATCTAGGATACATAAGCAACCTGCAAGATTGGTCTCCACATGTCTCACAGTGAGTGAGTGACTTTAGTTTTACGCCGCCTTTAGAAATATTCCAGCAATATCACGGCGGGGGACACCAAAAATGGGCTTCACACATTGGACTCATGTGGGGAATCGAACCCAAGTCTTCAGCGTGACTAGCGAACGCTTCAACCACTAGGCTCGCTGACTTGGTTGACATATGTCATCGTATCTCAATGCTCATGCCGTTGATCCCTGGATTATCTTGTCTAGACTCGATTATTTACAGACAGCTGGAATATTGCTCTGTGTGGCGTTCAACAACAAACAAACAAATCAGTCGAATTGATCTATGCCTGAGTCAAACCTTTATGGGTTTAGAGTATTAGAATTGCTCTCTAATACCTCCCAGGTATGACTCAAATATATCATGGAGGTGACGCTGGGTGACGTCAGCGTGTAACGTCATGCATGACCGCGCTGTTATATGCTAATACGCTATCGTGAGAATAGACACAATATGCATCGCTATGATTTGGAGGGTCTAATAGATTACATCTACTCTGTTTGTGACTTACATGTACAATAGTGTATAGTGTATATTACAACCACTCGTGCTGTAATCTCAATGGAATGTACCAGTGAAGATCCGCGTTGGAATTGATCTTCAGCAACCCATGCTTGTCGTAAGAGGCGACTAACGGGATCGGGTGGTCAGGCTCGCTGACTTGGTTGACACATGTCATCGTATCCCAGTTGCGTAGATCGATGCTGGATTGTCTGGTCCAGACTCGACTCGATCTCGATCGATTCCATATAGCTGGAATATTGCTGAGTGCGGCGTTAAACAACAAACCAAACCACAGCAAAAACCAAAGCAGCGTAAAAGCATTGTCACTCTCTCCAGGGCAAAAAGGTTGTGTTTTTCTGAAAGATGGTCAGGTCATACTATCGAAAAGTGAACATTACTTTAGTTTTTCCATCTGTTCCATGGCGGTCTGAAAACAAATCGAGTTTGGACCAGGCAAACCATTCACTGCAAATATTATCAGAAACGAACTGTGCTATTTGGACGACGACACCCATTGAGCTAATCAGCTGCCCTTTTAGCCGCCTCTTACGATAACCATAGGTCACTGGTAAATCCCACAGGGATCAATAACAGACAGATATTTGCCTGGTTTAATTTGTTCATTTTCGTTCAAGTTACCCCTATCACGGACAAAATAAATGGTTTAGCATAACATATGTACTCATATTTTGAAATTGATTTTATATTCACATATATCCATGTTAAATAAATTATCAAAGTAAACATTTACTGATCTTTTCGAGGAATCGATATTCCGCTGTTTAACAATGCCATTATCTCCAAGACGATAAGCAGATGACACTTGAGGCTGCCACGGCTAGGACTTACATTGCCCGATATCGCTAAAGTGTGTAATTTAGCTGAAGACTTTATCCAAAGCAGTCCAAAATAAATTTATTGTTAGACGAGTGAAAACACTCCAGACCGTGACATTATTCAAACTACATCTATTCCGGGAGGAACACGATCAATTGAATATCGCCTTACGTCGAGTGACGCACAAGTATCTATATTAAGAAGCAGTGTTCAAGTATTCATACGATAGCTTTTTTTCTGATGAACTATCATTCGTCGACAAGACGATCTATTCCGAAGATCCGATTGCTTTCCTTTTTTGATAAGTCGTGAGATTGGTTATAAGATTGAATCTTTCCGTTGCTGATTCAATTCGATTCATTGCTTTAAGATAATGAAGTGTTTTTCATATACGTCAGGGTATGCTCTTCAGCTGTCGTGTTACAACATTGTGCTGTTGCTGTCGTCATTGGTGTTGTCGTCGTTGACATTTCGGTTGATTCCTGTTTATTTTCTGCTCGTCCATAACACCCCCTTCCTTTTCTCCCCTCAAGAATTACGGGCAATTCCTGGTGCCTTGAAGATGTGTGCAATGTGCCACCATTATGCCTATAAGCTATTTCCATTAGGGTGTCTGTATTTTTTATCCGAAACCTAAACCAATAAGACAGCGGAAGAGAGAAATAGATCAAATTAATAACAAAGTATTTTTTGTACTAATTTTGTGACTTATTTACGAAACTTTAAAATTTAGATCGTTTGGTAATAGTTTGTAAATTAATTTATGATATAGGAAATGTCACTTTTTCGCCCGGAACCAATGTTTTAATAAATATAAACGATAAAACGAAATATCAAACCCACTTTTTTTCATGAATGCGCAAGGATTAGAGTATTTTTTATCAACACAAATCCATAGATTTGCACATCGGCTTTTAAACTGAAATAAGTGTATATTTTTTATAATTTCACTTCGTAATGAAACTCCAGGGCGGTCAGGAAATAGGAAACTGAAAAAAACCTACCTACAGTCTTGAACGAATCACATCCAAGAATATCCAAGAACTATTGTCAGTTCACAAAATTTGATGTTCGGTGGATTAGCCTAGTGGTTAAAGCGTCTGCTCGTCCCGCCGAAGACCCAGTTCGATTCCTCCCACGTCTACAATGTGTGAAGCGCATCGCTGGTGTACCCCGCCGTGATATTGCTGAAATATTACTAAAAGCGGCGTAAAATCCAACTCGCTCACGTAATCACTTTGCTATCGTAACCCGTTCGTGTAGTCTCGTGGGAAGGTCATTGTGTGTTACGGGGAAAAAAGCGATTGCTGGCGGAGCCCAGTTGATTTCTAACATATCCGTTCCTACTTGGGGAAGAAATAAATGTGTCAAAAGAACAAGAGATGTGTCATCATAATTTTCGAAATGGCCGTCGCTGAAGCCATGTCAAAGGAAGTAAGTTGGAGCTTCAATGTAGGCCTACATAATTTGACCATTAAGGACAGATGAAATGTTTTCGTCGCGGTCAAGGTCATTGTATTTAGGTACGTGTGTCCTTACAAGATCGTATGTATGAATGTGTCTGTGCCTTCCTGCACTTGTCTTGAAGAATGCCGATTTCACATTGCTAGCCGCATTTTAAAAGGGATGTCCCACAAAGACACATAATACTGACTGCGTGCCGACTACTCCTGGTTTTAAACCCAGGCAGGGAAACAAAAAGTACCTTCTTGGATAACGTTGTCGGAATGACACCACGATAAACGCTTATAACGAACTGACGCATATAACGAACGGTGTTTTTCTGTCCTGGACG